GTTAAAAAAATTTGCACATACACCCGATATTCATGTACGCACAAATTTTAAAAGTCACCAGCGCTCCTCATTCTCTCGACATAAGATGTCGAAAATAATACCCGGATACGATGAACGAGAAATTTATTTTTCAATTACTCATTTTCTCGAATTATAATAACAATTGGCATGCGATTAATTTGAAAGATATTTTTCTAAGTTTATATAAAAATATTGTCAAAGTAAATTTCTTAACTGATAATGAATAATAAATTAATACAAATTAATAAATTTCTTTTATTATTTTACGTTATATTTTTATGTCATATTTATTTCCTTTTATCTCTTTATTTATTGTAAGAATTTAATTTTATAAGCAATACGAATATTGAATATCAAGTCTTCACGGACAAACACTATTATAGTATAATTTACGACTATTATAGTATAATTTAAATTGATAAGTAATTAAAGATAATTTATTTTATCAAATGCATTTAATGCATTATTGTAACGCAAGCATTGCTGCAAGTTTCCTGACGTCGAACCTGAAGAATCGCATATCTAACAAGCGGCGCATTGGTGGGGATTGATTATCATGTGCATTATAAACTCACCGTGTCCAGCAACAATGTGCTATCGTGTAATTTACGAGAATTGGAAAATGTACCGTCATCAGAACTACCCACGAGGAGTAGTGCGATGTCGCGAGTGTGAACGGAGCCAAGGAATGAGACGAACGCATAAAAAGATAGATCAATGAACTATAACGTATAGTGCGACCAGTCATTTAGAACGAGCCGTAAAGATAATAAGGTCACAATGCTGAAAATACAACGCGTCGAGATAATGAAATGAACATTTATAGGCCGATCGACTCATCAGGGGCCAAAGGACTCTGATGAGATTACGAGAAGATGACAAACAACAATCTCAACGATCGATATTTTAAATAATTACAATCCTGTCAATAACCTTCCATAAAATCTACTTGCAGTCTGAGTGTACTTCCTACTTTCTGTAACGGAAGATTAACATATTTATCTTATTTTCTTGCTAAATACTAATCAAAATAATTACGACATTTTAATTGTACATTCTAATCTAGTATTAAAGTTTTCCCAAAAAGAAAAAAAGATTACGACGATAAATTCGATAAAAACTAAAACATGTAAGTTGTTAACTCTATCATTAGCTGATATTGATTAATACTTAGTATCCCGTTCCCGTTTCTAAAAATAAAGGAATAATTATTTATATAATTAAAGAAATACGGATGTATGTATCAATTGCGCGCATAAGCGTATCCAGAAATTTTTATCAATTCTTAACGCATAAACAGCAATTTTTTGCATCAATGAATTGCTTTTTTAGATATCTTAAAAGTTAAATGTCAGCTCGTTTTTCATTTTTTAAATGAGAAAAATATTAAGTAATTTTGTAAAATCATAACTTTAACTTTTTTTTTAATTTCGGGGGGTTTGAACCCTCCAAACCCCCCTCGTGGATACGTCCATGGCGTTTGTGGATTGTTGCAGTTCACTTCTGTCTCGGAATTAATATCGCATTTCCGAGCGGCGATACGCACGATGCGCAGGGCAGGGTATTCTGACGAATAGAGGGAAGAGGGTCAGGAAGACGATTAAGAGGCGCCAGGTCATGGCACGTGAAGGCGATGTCACGCGCGTCTTTCTCGCTCGTGCGTCTCTTCATTACGATGCAGCTCGCGCGCGTTCGCCTTTCTATGTCGGTCCTGTCGGCGACATAGTTTCGCGGTCGCGCGGTACTCCGGTCGGAACACACCAGGCCGTCACGTGCAATCGGTGAACGTATCCGCGAGGACAGCGCGCTCTCGATGGAGGGCAACGGGGTGTTCCGATAACACCTATGCACCATGCGAATCGATTTTCCATGCGACGCGAGAGGCGTGACGCCGATTACGCGACGCAACGGGAATGGTAAAGCGGTCGTTTTAGGCGAAACAGCTGCGCATCGAGGTATTCATCATCTTCCCACCTTCCAGGAACTCGAAAATTACGCTCGGTAATAATTTAATAAAATTATATAAGCGATCGCACGATTGCGTGATAAGACATAATCTCGTAAATTGACTTAATTGAGATCCATTTAAAGCTGTATTTGAATATATTTTTTCATCGAAAATAGCGTCTTTTCTCTCTGTCTCTTTCTCTCTCTCTCTCTCTCCCTTTCTCTCTTTTTGTGCAAATACGCGAGATGACTGAGGAAATCTTATATAATTTGGAGAATTAATGACATTTCTCGCTTCGCGCACGATTACACAGGGACATGTGCACGCAGCGGTGCGGTTTATCGCGAGATCGCTAAAAGATACGCTCATTCTCACGTTCAATTACGTCAGGTGACGTTTGCAAAAATGCACGTGTCCGTATGTCTGGGGAAATAATTATATCTCGCATCATAATAACGTCCATATTGTACTCGGCGATTATCGCTTTTATCTCATGAGATCGTCGACGGAGCGGAGATCATCGTTTTGCGGATTCGTAAATTTTACGTAAAAGGAATGTAGCACGTGCGAGAACGAAATTATCGCAAATGTTACGCAACTACGGTTCGACACGTTACCATTAATCGGAAAGCGACCGTCATCGATCGTCGAATTCGATATCTCGAATCATTGAATACTTGTACTTTCTTACGAGTACGAGTCGTGGATGAGTTACGCGTGTCAAGTCTTAGGTCATTAAACCGGTAGCCTAGAATACTCTCGCAACGCGGATATTGCTATCAACTCGATTGCGATACAGATACGATCTTATACTGTACGCTAATTTCGCATGTAGTCGCCTCGTCGATCAATCTATCGCGATGAGGCTTGATTGCTTGGTTAGCGGCGCGACAAATATGGAAATACGGACCGCAATCTCTCGTCGAACCCCGGGGGTAAATACCGCGAAATCAGAGGATAATCATACTCTAATCCTTTTCCACGATCTCCCGTCGTTGATGCGCAGTTATTTAAAACCGCGAGTATAAATCAAATAAATGAAAAAAAAAAAATTCCGATGAAAAAATTATCCGCGACCTTTTCCTCCTGATTCCTCCGGTTGGGCTAAGCAACGATGAATTAATTGGAAACCTAACTTTACAGTGTCTAAAAATAACAATAGCATCGAGAAGATACTTTCTTTCTCTTTACTTACTCTGCCATTATATCGTCGTAGGTGGCGTATCAAATCCTGTGCGTTAAATTCATAAATTCGTTCGTTACTGTCAGAGTCAAGGCCGCGTATCAGATGCGGACGATAACGCGGCATTGACTCCGATATTACGCGATGGAGGATGCCCCGGCATGTGCCGTTGCATCTCGATGAGGTCAATACACTCGTCATTGCATTACGCGCAACGATGAGCTCTATTATGCGTTCTCTATCATCCTAAGTACCTGCACTCGACGTATTTACACGGATTACGTCGCGTATCGGTCGCGTGAGACAAAAACACCCGGCAAAAATCGTCTGTCATTGTTTCGTCGGTGTATTTTCTAGCGTAAACGCAATCGATAATCGCGCTTTCTGACATCGGTAATTAATTCTCGAGATGAACCTATAATTTTTGCCCGTAGAATCGTGTGATAAGAAAGATGATTCAATAGCATGACGATTTTTTAATAATCAAGAGGAATTGATTTTGATTAATTACCGTTAGATCAGCAAAACTTGTGCTATATTATGCAAATGTTAATGTTATTCCGCGAGATAAACGAAAAAATCTCAAGTTATCAAACCCAGCAGCTTCGGAAGATTAAAAAAATACAATGATATAATAGCGCTATCGTTACAGAAACCATCTTATCTAATTGTCGGGGCGCCACGAAACTTGGACGATAACGCGGCAAAGCGGCATTGCAAAATTTTTCCGTGCGCTCGATGCGAGATTGTTTATATTTTATGTTGCTTATGTTCTCCGACGAGGTCTCGCTGGTGGCCGATTATGCGAAGAACTTAATGCGCCGCGATCTCGCGAGATGATCGTAAAAATAAAACGCAGAAATGGCGCGCGACTGGGACGAAGATAAAAATCCGACTGCGGTTTGCCTTTCGCTCGCCGCGCGAATTGTCTGCCGTGAAAGAACGGCAATTCTCGTCCGATAGGAAAAGCAATCCATAAATTCCGACGTTGAGACGTGCTTTAGATCCAACGGGGCGTTTTATTGCACGGCCAACAGCATATACATACATACGCGATGGTAATAACGCCGGGAATCGATTTCGCGCGCAAAATCAATCGAAAATAAAAAGCTACCTTGCTTTCAAGCGTATCAGTAATATCCTGTGCGTAAAACAATTATTATCGAGCCTGGCGAGACAATTGTTTGTTTCTTTGAGATTCCATTGTTTTACGTTATGTAAATAATGCATGGTTTCTATATCCCATGCGCGGAGATGAATATTTCTTTGTGACACGCATGCATAGAGTTAATATAACGTGGAGGATGTGCGGTATTAGACAGCATAATATATTATTTGTGTCTATGTAACGTATGTAGATGACCATTGTTTCACGCGCGATCAAACTCGGAAACACGTTGCAGGATTAGCATAATTACCGTAAGGCATAATTACAGCGCGAGGATTTTGCAGCTAGAGAAGGCAGCCCGTGTGTTATACAAAGCGTACTATTTAAATGAGTAAGCAAAGTCGCAAACAATATCTTGTATTGCGGCGACTGCCGCGGACACGTGCGGTATCTCTCTCAAATCACATAATTTCTAATTTAAAAGTCCGCTAGAGAGAGTGAATTTACGGAATAAGAGAAATAATTCTCTCCCTTCGGCCTTACGCGATATTATTAACGCGAGAGAAATCGTGACAATTGCAAAACGCATTTCGGAGAAAAGCACGAGATCCTGTTATCGAATATATTTGAAATTGCTTTAGCTGTACGCATGTTTTTTTTTAAAGATAACATAATAATAATTTTATTTGTAATCATTTTGATCATCGTGTCGTTTCTTTCACTTTACAATTTTTCTGCAGAAACCCAACATGGTGGAAGAGGCGGTCCGGTTTGGAACGCGGGCTAACGGTGATAGCGGTTTCCGGATTCCTCTTGTGCGTCGCTTTGGCGGTCGCCCTCGGAATTTTGGCGGCCAACACGACATGCAACATCACGTCCAATAACATGACCAGTAAGAGCGCTCACTTTTACAAGCTATAGTGCAACGCGAGCCATTGCAAATGCAGCGTTGCTTGAAAAGCACAGAAACGAAGATCCGCACTCTCTCGTCTTTTTAGCACTCGGATATTTACGTTGAAGTTGAAAAAAAAAATCTCGCGCGAATGTGTGCGAGCGTTGGCTTTGGATGAATAGTGCGGATCTTCTTTATCTCAAAGTTGAATCAGAAATACTGAATGTTATTTTTGTTATACGCTTTTATCTCGAAATGATGCACGATGTATAGCATGATTCATCGGGGAGAAATAGAAAGATAGAAAAATAGGATAGAAAAATAGGATACTTAAATATCTCTCATTGGGTATAAAAGTGCAAAAGAGAAATTTATAGAATAGTAAATTTGCATAGTTCTGAATTCTAACGCTTAATATAAATTAAATAATATCATTTTGTTTTGTTACTCCTAACTTGAAATGAAATGGCAATCTTAACGAAAAAGATTTAAGCGTAGAAAATTTCTTCATAAAATCCTTTATTTACGAAAATCTATCATCGCCTGACATTTTTATATACGCGCAGGATCGGTTTATATTCTAACAAAGATTTAGATTATTATTATTATTATTATTATTATTATTTATTAGATTATTATTATTATTATTTAGATATTTCTCAGACATCGCTCTTAAGTTTTATTAAAATTTTTTCAACGACAATAAAATATGAAAAATAACAACGTAAAAATAATTGTATAAAATATGAGAAATAATAACGCCTTTATTTTAATATAGATTTGTAATATCAAAATTTTTGGAGAAAAGATCTCGTCCATTCTAATGTAAGCCTACTACGTAATTTATAAACCTGATCCTACACATGCAGTAACAAAGTATCATGCACTGACATCCCGAGACATATGTTAGCCTGGCGTTGCGACAAAGACTTATTACTTAACATCATCTAATTACATTAATCGCTAATGCCTGAAGCGAAATTGCTAGTGACGAGCAATGCTAATTCTTCGCGACATGGCAACGGCAGAATTCTGTAATAGCTTACACGATATGTTGCTTGCAACAAAAAAAATCAGAATTTAATTTCTAAAGCAGTTTTAGAATTCCTGATATAAATTTTCACGTTATGAAAAATTTCATAAGAGAAATAACTAATCTCTAATGTTTATTATAGGAATTTACAAACGGATAATTTTTCACGTATTGAAATACTAATTAATTATAATTCAATACTACGTTCTATCGTTGACGGAAGACAAATTATTATATTTAGAAATTGAATTCCTTTTGGAGAACAAACGTAGACGCGTAATGAACGCGTAATGCTTTAAAAAAGTTAAATTTATTTTTATGCCAGGGAGATGTTGATGAAGATTTTAATAGTATTTAAATCATACGCCTTTTCATTATCGCTTTTAATTACCGTTAGAGGTATCGTCATGATTGCTTTATTCGATACTCACGAATCCATATATCGTTTTCATCTGATGTCCCGAGATAAGGTAGAATCTATGCCGCTTTTTAATGCGACATGTGATGATTACGTTTACGATCGGTTTACGAAGCGGTTCGGTAACGGTACGTATCCGCGTCGTAAAAAAATTTTAACTGTGCGAAAGTAAGGCGCGTAATTGCAGTGCGGTCGTCGTAAACTTTATTTCTACGTCGGCGCCTCGTATCAAAGTGCTCCACCCGCTCATTAAACGGGAAAACGAGAATGACATTACGAAAATAGTCCCGCTATGCGTTGCAAAAACGTTCTGTTATTTGATCAAACGTGCACTTCTCACGGCGAGTTGTCTCGCGAAAAGCTTGCGAAAAAATTCATGACGTACAATTCGAAAGTGACGTCAAACGGGAGCGGTTTGGTTCTGACGCATTTTGATATTTCCAGTGGGCAAACATTGTTTTGAAAATTATTCACCCGCCACACGTGTTTGCACTAATGTAACAAGCGATTACACTCGTAATCGCACCGGCTTACGATACGCACACCCCTTTTGCTAATATTTTGACTGCGCGATCGATCTGGTAGCGTGTTTCGTGAAAGCGTCATTACTGACGCATTCAAGATATTTTTAGATAGTATTTAAAAAAATCTACGGGGATACGAAACTTAGTCAGCGCCCGGTGATTTGACGTTGCCATTGGTAGATATTTTCTTTTCCTACGTGAACATGTGTAGTAATTACATACGCAATCCGACGAATAATCACAGGTGAAATAACACGCGATACGATCGAATCGAGAGAAAGGAAAAGAAAAACAAAGAGAGAAACTCACAATTTTAAATCCGACAATTCAGATCTATCAATATACTTAGTTCAATGAAAAATAAATTCACGTGCATTTTCTATAATAAAAGTGGAAAAGAATGAAATCGTTTTTTTGCAATATAATTGGATTCAAAAAGTTTAATATTATTTAACGTTTTTTGTAAAATATATTTTTAGAAATTATTTCTTTTTAGAAATTATTTGTAACATTATTATACGTAATATTATTAAATTCGTAATTTTGAATTATGAATAAATAAATAAATAATTAAATTTTGATAGTCTAGGAATATAAGAAATTATATTCCTTTTTCTTTTTGAAATACATGACACCATTTTCTAAAATAGAAAAGACAGGGAATTTCACATTTTTTACAAAATAAATTGATAACTTATTCATACATAAAAATAAACATATAAATAAACGCTAGCAACTTGAGAAAGAAATGACATCAGGCTTCGTTGTGTATGCATTTTAAATTTTATCGCAACTTGTATTTGTGTGCTTCGCACCCATTAATTTGTGGCTGTTATATATTTTTTTTTGCACCTACATCCGCACCTTCATCTGCACGAGAACAGATATTGTTAACGCAGAGATGCTACCATCCACAGCTGAAGCGTTAAGTGGTTCGGGAAAACCGAATGTCAACACGATACCAAAGGAGACGAAATGCGACAATATATGTTTGACACCTGGATGCGTTTACACAGGTTAGTATGGCAGAACTAAGATTCTCCGCCTATCTAAATATAAGTTTTTAGCAGGATCAAATATATAGTAATACAATTGATCGGCTAATAGACATTAATATATTTTATTTAAGGAAAAATTATTGCTTAGAGGAAATACTTCACTTTATATTAGCTTTAAAATATTGTATTTAACATTAAAATAAAATTTAAATAAAGAATTTTAATCAAATTTCGTATATTTAACTCAACAAAAGTAAAAAATTTTATCACAAAAAAAATAAATCATTTATTTAGTATCGAGGCCTCGATATTTTTTTATTCGATAATCGATATTTAATTTATATACTGATTAATAACTGGGAATTTTGTCGATAAATGAAACAAGTTTTTTTATTTGTGCAAAAGCTGTTTTTGTTAATAATACACAATGATTAATTTGTTAAATAATATTTATAAAGGTATTCCATCAAAATATAAACTTTGGATATACTCGATGTTTTAAATGCAATAAATAAATTGTATTACTCAAAAATTTTTTAAATCTTGAAGATATCGAATTGTACTAATTTGCACCTGTCACAGCCTCGAAGATACTAAAAAACATGGATCCCAATGTGGAGCCTTGTGATGATTTTTACAAATTCGCTTGCGGCGGTTTCCTTGAATCTACGATTATTCCTGACGACAAAACTACCGTAAACACATTCTCTGTCATCGTTGATGATCTTGAGGAACAATTGCGAGCCAGTATTGAACAAGAAAGCCCTCCAAAGGAACCGAGACCATTTAGACTTGCCAAAGACTTTTACAAGGCCTGCATGAATAAAAGTAAGTAGTCGCATACGAAATTTTATATAAGTTGCCAAATGTGAATAACATAAAATTCAAAAAATATAAGATTCTAATGAATCCAATCTAAAATTATAATTAACGAAGCTGTTAATATTAACTGTAATTTAACAAACTTTAATAAGTTAAATCATAAAACTGCTATTTCTGCTATTTAAAAAAAAGAATTATCTATTACTAGAAAAGTGAATCTGCATAAAACAAATGCAACGTAATTATTTTTCCAATTAATTACAGATGTTTTCAAAACTGATATACCGATGAAGAAAGGATAACTGATGAACGAAAGAAAATAAAAATAAAAAAATCAATTTTCGTTTCTTTTTTTTATTTCTTAAATCTGTTACTTCTTTCAGCCGCTATTGAGGAGAAAGGTTTGACACCATTGTTAAACAATCTGAGAAAACTCGGTGGTTGGCCCGTTCTGGACGGCGAAAAATGGAACGACGGCGACTTCACTTGGAGAGATTCCGTCTACAGATTCCGCAGGCTTGGCTATTCTGTTGATTACTTCATCGATTTCGGCGTCAGTATCGACCTGAAGAACAACTCGAGACGCTTGATTGACGTAAGTATCGATGTAACAACTTTCTCTAAATATAATAGCAATAAATGCCGTAATTCATAAAATCGTATGTAAAATAGACTGTATAAATTATAATCTCTACTATCTCTCTCTCTGAGTAAAAATATGGCGCTTGCCTCGACTAGTAGACGCCAAATAAAAATTGATAATTCTTTATAGCTCGATCAAGCAGCGCTCGGTCTCTCGCGCGAATATCTGTCGAAAGGCTTCAATGAGAAAATCGTTCAGGCATATTACAAGTACATGGTGGACATCGCTGTAATTCTCGGAGCCAACCCGGATCGAGCCCGCAAGGAATTGAAGGAATCGCTTGAATTTGAAATCAAGCTCGCAAACGTAAGTCACCTTTAATCGAAACAACAATTTCGATGAAATAAAGTTTCGATAGGAAAAAATTTTTTTTTTTGAAATTATCGCACGATCGAGATCAATGCTAATTGCTTGAATGGATAAATATCTATGCAGATTTCTTTGCCCAACGAGAAACGACGCAACGTGACTCTCCTCTACAATCCCATGACCGTGGACGAACTGTCCGCGGCCTATCCTAGCATACCATGGAGGGAATATTTCAACACCATCCTCGCACCGCACGCGCAACTAAATCCAGACGAAATAGTTGTTGTGAACGTGCCGAGCTATCTAAAGGACTTTGAACGGCTGATCAGCATGACACCGAAGAGAGTGCAGGCAAACTATGCGCTCTGGAGAGCGGCTGCTGCGTCGATCAGCTACTTGACAGATGACATCCGGAAGAGACAGCTGAAGTACACAGTGGAGTTAAACGGTAAGACAGAGAGAGAGCCGAGATGGAAAGAATGCGTGGATGTCGTCTCTGGCAGCCTGGCGATTAGCGTCGGTTCGATGTACGTGAGGAAATATTTCAAAGAGGACGCGAAAAATGCCGCGCTCGAAATGGTCGGCGACATCAAGGAGGAATTCATGAAGATTTTACGAAAGGTGAAAAAAAATACTTGAAAATTTAAATGTAAAATTGAAAAGATTAAAATCGATCGATGTTTTGACATCTTCTTATTTAAAATGGAGTCTTAAAAGTCTTACAAAAGTCTCTTCTTCTCTTTTCTTTTTATCTTTCTTTACATTCTCTTTTACATTCTCTTCTTCGTAATTATAATAAACTAAAATCAAAGGAACTGAGTCTAAAAGAAATACGAAGAATCTTGTCTTTATCAACAAATTAAAATCTTGGAAGTAAAACAGCTGTAATTTGTACTAAAAAAAAATAAATAATGATATTTATTAACGATGTTAATTCCAAAAATTTCTAATAAATAATGTTATGAAATAATGTTATTAAATTTTTTACGCAATTTTTAGGTGGATTGGATGGATGAGAAGACTAGAAAGAACGCTTTAGAAAAAGCACTTGACATGACATCACATATTGCTTATCCAGATGAATTGCTAGATAATAGAAAGCTCGATGAATTTTATGAAGGACTTGAATTGAATTCTGATGATTATTTAGGAAGCATTTTGAATTTGACTATTTTTGGAACAAATTTCTCATTCGGTAGATTGAGAAAACCAGTGAATAAAACAGAATGGATAACTCATGGAAGGCCAGCAGTTGTTAATGCATTTTATTCATCAATCGAGAACAGTATTCGTAAGTATTTAAGTATAAATAATCTGTTATATATAAATATATATCAATAAATATATAATAAGAAATGTTTCTCTTTAATGATCAATTATAAATTTGGAAAACACAAGGACAAAAATAAGAAAAATCAAATTAAAGTTGAAGAAAAAATTTTTAATTTCAATATTGTAATTTGCAAAAGCAAATTATTTAAAATTTCTCATTTTAATTAATTTTAATTAAGACAAATTTTAAAACTACCTTTTTTAAATGTGATTTTATTAAGATTTGTATTTATTTTTTTTTAATCAAAATAAAATTATGTCCTTTTTACAATAATATAGGGAAGTGTTTAATTATGTAAAGATATCTTTTATTTAAGTTAATATCATTAGGTCAAATGTTAAATTATCTTCTTTATAAATAGAATAATTTATATATAAATAGAATAATTTATATATTTCAATAATAGAATTCATAAAATTATAACATAACGCGTAATGTAGTTAATTATTTTTTACAGTTATCGCTACATGCTGAATAATTCTTTTATTTTTTCTCATAGAATTTCCGGCAGGTATTTTGCAAGGTGCATTCTTCAGCAATGATCGACCACGTTACATGAACTACGGCGCCATCGGTTTTGTCATTGGCCATGAGATTACCCACGGCTTCGACGATCAAGGCAGACAATTCAATAAGGAAGGTAATCTCGTGGATTGGTGGGAGGCAGAGACGAAGGAGCTTTATCTTAAGAGAGCCGAATGCATAATTCATCAGTATGGAAATTATACCGTGAAAGACGTTGGAATGAACGTAAGCTGAATCTTACATATCTATTATACTTTATCGAATTCGTTTTTTTGCTATATGAATTTTTTTCTATATTTAAACTCGGAAAAATCTAATTATAAAGATATATAGAGAAAATAAAGAATTTTAGCAATATTGAGAGGTGTTTCGCAATTAGCATTTATTGGTTTCATCTTTTGAGATATTTTTATGACAAATAATAATTGTGATGACAACTGTGATTGCCCTAACTTTTGTAATTTATTTTCTGCCGCACTTGTTAGATAAAAATGTTATCTTTCCAAGAATAATTATCGACTCCATGTGCGTTGCAGCAATATATAAATGTTACAGTAGAATATTCATGTATGATAAAACTAGTGATAACGGTAACGGAATTTTTTTAACGTCGTCTATGAAATTTCTAAATCATCCAACTATTCAAAGACCCAATAAACTAAAATACAGTTCTACATATATATATGTATATATATATAT